CTTGTTAGTAATTACAGTTTAGACCTCACTGAAAACTCAAAGCTTTTATATAACATTGTTGGATAATGCAAAGAATAAAAGCAAAACTTTAATAAAGGGTGAATGCCTATAAGACAGGAATTTAGTCTCAGTAAATTTATGAAAATGAAAATACTTTTTAGAAATTAAACTTGTTTTAAAATAAGAATACGTATATGTAATTGTAATATAATGATAATTAATATTTGTCACCGATGAAATTCTTCAACTTACAGAAGGTCAAACTTAGCCAGTTTTCCAAAGAACGCGATTTTTGATATTATTGGCTGTTTCAGCTATACATTTGCCATAAGTTCATTTCAGATATAAGTTAATTTTCTTCGTGTGAATTATGTATGTCTAAGTCTATTTCATTGCAAGAAAATCAGCATAATCAGCACATGGCCTTTTTTTTCTTCAAAAAGTCTTAACTTATATTCGTATATTATTGTACAGATAATGAATGACTGAATACTCACACCAAAAATAGGAAACTGCAGCTAATGTGGCTCACATATTTAGTCCAAGGGTGCAGTGTATCTTGTTTCAAAAGATAGTGGTTAGATATGGGCACATTTGAAAAACAGTGTGAACGAAAACGTAACTAATAAAGCTCGGGTATGTAACAAATGTCAAATGAAATTATGAAAAAAGACCACCTGCTTCTGCATGTCAAAATGGATCTACTGATGATAAAGATATAACTAAGAAGTCGCAATATCATATGCAACACCATTCAATGCCCATAGTGTATAAGGCTAAATGTTTCAAGAACTTCAACATTTCACTCCAGGTGTGCTATTTGCAGGGTTTCAGGAAGGCTGTATATTGTAATTCCTGATGGGTGCTCTAAACTTATTAAGATCACTTTATCGGCAGTTAATTTATACCATAAGCTTGCGATGAAACCATTGTAAAACACATAAAGTTGAATATGAAACCATTGTAAAACACACAAAGCTAGATATGAAATCATTGTAAAACACTCAAAGTTGAATATGAAACCATTGTAAAACACACAAAGTTGAATTCAACCGCTAAGAAATAACAGGGCTATTCGCAGATCTAAGAAAAGTAGCTCAAGTGAAGACATATTTGGATTTCGAAAATCCATTGACCTTAAGTGACAGTGGCCATTAAAAGGTCATTGGAATCCACAAGGAACAATTTGAAATTCTCTGAACATGCATGCATGTGAGGAATACTTCGGTTGATGGTGCACGAACTGTTTTGTCGCATGCATGTGAGGAATACTTCGGTTGATGATGCACGAACTGTTTTGTCGCATGCATCTGAGGAATACTTCGGTTGATGATGCACGAACTATTTTGTCGCATGCATGTGAGGAATACTTCGGTTGATGGTGCACGAACTGTTTTGTCGCTTCCTTTGCTTTCAAATTTGTTTGAGATAGAGAAGCGAGCTGTCAGCTGTGCATTCAACAAGAAGTGCATCGATGGATAACTTTTTTTCTTATCACATTAAACTTTCACTCATCATCAGACAGGACTTCATCCAGAAACACTCTCATCCATTGGCAAGAAAACTATTTGCTGAAGGTCAAGATGATGCAATGATTTTCGCAGATGGGACATAAATCTATATACATAAGAGTGCAAACTACACTTTTCAGAAAATTATTTTCCATGCACGTTGGACGACCTCTCTTGAAACCAATAACTCTTGTAGCTACTGATGAATATATACTGACAGTTTTGGGGACATATTTGTCAAATGGCACTAACAACGACGCTAGTATAACCAATCATTTAACATACACCAACAACGAGGAAATCTACAATTAGATTAACCCTGGAGGTGTTCTCATTGTGAACTATATATTTAAAGACTGCATGGACTTCTTTTATTACTTCGAATTTGACAAAAGCCTAGCTTTCATTACAAAAGGAAGAAAAAGCACAGTGCGCCTGAGGCTAACGAATTCAGAATTGTGATGAAAATCAGATGGGTTATGTAGATTACGAACGGAAATATCAAAAAGTGAAAATCATTGGAAAGAGCTCCCCCGAACTCATAGATTCCATATATACGAGATTACACATAAATTGTGGGTATTGGAGTTTACAAATGGGAAGAATAAAAAGTTCAAAGCACCGGAGGGAGTTCCCGTAAGCTCACAGATTCCATACCTAGGAGATTACACATGAATTGTGTGTGTGCTCTTTGTAATATTAAGGCCTTTGTGCATTCAGGATGTGACAAGTTGCAGCATATTTACAGACATGATGCTTAGTACCGCTTCTCTCCCAAATAGTTTGTAGAAGATGATGGAGAAAAGGGGATGGGCGACCTACAGGACTTGCTGGAGTATGATGGACGCAACCTATGTCGGGGAGTGGGGAGTTCCCTCACCTAATAGTGGATAAAATGTAGTAATTGTGCATCGGAGTGTACCAATTAAAATAGATCCAGTTATACAGTGCAGAACACATCAATGAGAATGGGTCTTATGAGGTTTTTATTCATAAGAAACAACTTAACGTCTTGGAAGCTAAAGTGCAATTCAGCACACTTCTTCCAAATGCTACAACCCCTGGATTCAGTATAAAACGGGTCTCTAGTCTGTGACAGTCTAATACTGTCAGTGCGAGCCAGTGTTGTGAGATGTTGTGTATACTGTAGCATTTCTATTGTGGTATATTGTATATGTAGGACACATAAACCAAACCAGTGTTACTCCATCCCTAATGTCATGTAGAACACACCACTGTGCTTAGAACAGTTCAAACAAGGATTCTGATGAATGTGTGAAAGAATCATTATAAATATATTAACACATTAACACATAAACTATCTAAAATACGTTGCCTGATTAGCAACTGTAAATATATACTGTAATGTTTTAGCACATAGAGTACAATCAGTTCCCTGCGCGTTTAATATCATTAAGAGATTGGGAAAAACAGCCCCTATAAGCATATTTTAGTATTTTAGAGTTTGGTTTAATCTACTATAAATCGATGACAAACCCTTAAGCATTAAGTTGCAGAAAAACAAAAATACCTCCGAGTGTCATAATGTATACTACAGTCTTTTTACAGTATTTCTTGATTTTCAGGAATACCCATCTCAAAACCTGAGTCTCAGTTGACGACACAGAAAACGAAAGTTTTAAAGTTTGTCTGTATAAACGCAAAGCTGCACAATGGGCTATCTGCGCTGTGCCCATTTCAGACATCACCCTATCAGATAAAATATTTGTTTACAACTTGCCCCATAATGGTTCAGCGATAAGCTAGAGGGCTCGAAATGACCAAATTTGGCTATCTAAAAAACACAGAGAAAACAATGCTATACAGTTAATAAGAGAATGTCGCTCACCAAAAATGTGACTTCGAATATTGCAGGATATACATCTATACCCGAAATTGGCATTAGATACAAATCACATTTGTGCAATGTCTACTGCCAGATTGGGAATTTTGACCTTGTTTGTTTGTTGTTAAGTGCAAATTTATACAAAGGGCTATCACTACTGTGGCCACCACGGGTATCGAAATCCGATTTTTAGCGTTATAAACCCTCAGAATTACTGATATATAATTACAGATAGCCCATTGTGTAGCTTTGTGTTCAGCAATAAACAAACATTTTAAGATTGTTAAGTCATGCTTGCAAACTGGAATCAATAGCTTTTGAGTAGATTTTCTGGTTTCATTATTTTTATGAATCCAAATAAACTAACACACCCATTTACTTTTTGGCTTACTATTCGTGGATTCGTTTATAAACGTTTTTACAGTTTTTTAGTACAAAACCGGAAGTCGCTCCTACGAGAGACAAAAAAACAAAGAAACTCATAGCCAGAAGGATGGCAGGCAGGCTTTACTCGGCACCTCAAACAATAGATCTCTTTTTTGAGGTCGAATTATTGAAATAAATTATATTCATAAAAGGTAACAAGCTATTTTATGATAGTGAGAGTTACATGAAAATAATGGAACGGCAGATTATGATCACAGTCCACCAGGAAATAATAACAAATAATATAAATGTAGTCAATATTATATATTCTAGATTGTTACTTGTGAAGTAAATTTCCAACTGTTTAAAAGACATTTTGAAGAAAGCTTGTCATTTTAGGATTTTTTAGCATACTGTTGGAAATTTCTGGGGTTTGTTGAACGCAACATGCCTGTAATTATGTGTGATATCATTCATTTGATACAAATATTTATATGATTTTTAAATTGTATAAAGTTGCATTGCTTGTGATGACATGCCATTAGATGTTGCTACTTTATAGATTAGCAATTGTTATTTTCCTGATAAAACCAGATTTCCACAGAGAAAAAAGATTTTACAGAATCCACCACTAACGTATTAGTTTCAAATGTTGATAGAACTTATATAAATTATAACTAGGTGAGGCACATTTTCTTTTTTTTTATACAGGCAGATAATAATTTTGACAGAATTGTTCAAATTTGTTTTTAAAAATAAACTATTCACTAATTTATCTATTTTGTAAGGAATTAGTCCTTCGTTTATTTTTACTGTTTGTATACGTTGTTTTGTAGTAAGGGGACACAAGGAATCTCTACTGCGTTAGCATAAAGACTCTATATATGTATATATACATTTAACAACACAACAGCTGAAAGTATTTCATAAAATGGCCCCTTCTTCATCAAGAGGTTTGCGTTCTTCATTTACGTTTGTTTACTTTAATATTTATGCCGACAACTCAGACTTTTTAACTTCAAAATTGTTGATTCTTTCTGAAAACGTGTAAAAAAAAAGGATTACACAGTGTAGTAATTTCTGCGGAAGTCACACACAGAGATAAAGCGCCCCCAAGGCACATTTTGTTCTCGAGTAAGAACGCTGCACAAACTAACCATTCTCGCGCACGAACGTCCTGCTGTTGATTTATCCGGCGCACGCGCCAGGCTAGTGTAACCCAAATCTATCGTCTGCACTGGTAATTCTGCGTTAGATAAGCACTTACAGTTAGAAGGTCTGCTGCGCAAAAGGCATCTTGCTTTGCAAAGAGAAGCACCAATTTTATATCTGGATTTTTTCATCATTATTACTGGAATTTGTGATCAACTAAATGCATAACTATAGAATTTCCAAAACAACCAAACAGTGCTTCGGTTTTGTGACAAGATATCGCTGTACCAAATGAACTTGAAGCTTCAACGACCTTGAGGTCATCCCTAGAGTCCAGCAAAGTATTTTTACAAGGTACGTTTTGTGTCAGACTTTAAAAAGGTTTTATATAGTTTAAAGGTCATTCTTTTAATTCTAAATGTAACTCACTGAGCTACAAGTATAATATATTTAATTCCGAATATTGAGTGGTGTGTGAGTATTTTTAAATAAGTTGCTCTGGTAGCAGTGATTATTATTGTACATTGTCGTTGTATTTAAATTCGATGATGAGGAACCCACTTTGAGACTAATAATGGTTGGAGACGACTTGAATGGGTAATGAAGAAAAACTTTAATATAAGTTTAAAACAACAGCAAATGTACAACGTTTCGACAAGGTTTTGTCATCATCAGGTACAAAATAATGAATATACAAGATGAATAAAAGTTAAATTGATTCATTACTTTAAGAAAACCAGTTTTTCAATTAACTAGCCTTATCCCAGGTAAGATATATACGAACATACGAACACACACACACACACACATATATATATATGTATGTGTTATATAAGTGGAAGCTTAAACATTCTAATAGAGAAGGCCAACTTACAACTGCGCTCGGATAATTTGTAATGTTTAAATTATGTAAAAACATGACATAGAAACATTGTCAATGACAGAAATAAATATTATTGTGGCATTCTGTGGTGGTATTGGCACTTTTAATTACTTGTAATATTTTTGGTTTCATATTTTAATATTGTCATGGAAATATGATTACTTGTAATTTTTTAAGCACGCAAAATTAAATTATTTGAACGAATGTACTCAACTATCTTTTAGAGGCTAAGTTTCAGACTTTTTCTTGGATTTTACGGGACCTTTCATGGATAATATTGACTTTTGCTGGAAACAACAGAAAAAGCGCCCTCTTTCATCCCCTTTGAGAAACGATACGAGTTAACATTCTGTTCCAATTCAAACTGGTACTCTCGAATAATTGAGAAAAAATAAATGTCGGCAAAGTAGTAATTAAAAATCATGAAAAAGTAGTTAAAGAGTTAAATGTTTATTTAACAGTTATTAAACAGCTTATTTATTTTATATATAAATAATTCTGTCAAAAATAGTTTTTGTAAACTAAAAGATTAAGAGCCTTCGGGTATAACATATTTTTTTAAACTCGTATAGCTGTTTCATTTACAATTTCTACTTTATCTTCAACTGATAAATATTACAAGTATTTTATTTTATTTTGCAATTATTTTTCGTT